GTCCTTCAGAGGGTGGGGAGGGGCTAGGTCACCCAGTGGAGTTCCCCAACTACAAAGATGGCCTGGGCGAGCCTAATAGACCAGGCTGGTCCCAGGGCAAAGGATCCTGCTCCATCTCTTCTCCTCCCAGAGCCAACTGCCCCCCACAGAGAAGGGGGGCTCAGTGGAGGTAGAGGATCTTCAAGAAACCCCGTTGAAGAGAGACCCTGGTTCTAGGACTTTGAAAGTAGGAGCTGAATAAGGGACTCCAGGTCAGCCCCAGAATCACCTCTAGCCAGCTCTAAGGGAAGAGCCCATGCCTTTCCTCATCAGCTGGTCCATCCAAGCTAAAGCTGGCCAGACGGACCAGCTGGAGGGAAAGGGGTGAAGCATGGGTGAGGAAAGCAGAAAAGGGGGGAGGGGATGAGATGACGATCCCTGCCAACCCGACCGATGTGAGTGGGGATCCTGGCAGGCCTGCCCGGTCCCCAAGACAAACCTTGTGTGTCATAAGCCTCAACTCTTCAGGCTGGGATTCATACCCTCATGCATGAGTCCCTGCCCTTATTTCCAATCTTATTGTAAGGACTGAGGTAGATCATTCATTTATACTCGTAGCATTCATCATCTGTGATTACAAAAAACACGGTGCTCCAGGAGCCTCCTGCTATGTAAGAAAAACAAATGCTCTTCTTCTGTCAGTCCAGATTGAACCACTTGAGGTCATCAGTAATGGTGCCATCAGACTGCGAAAGGCTGAGGCTTTGGCCCATCCCCTAGAACCCTCGGGATGTGGCCTCTCCCATATCCTGTACGCTCACTGAGAGGTATCCAAAGGAAAGAAACAGGGGCGTTTTCGGCTGGTATTACTTACTCTATGTCTGAATACAAGAGAACATTCTGAACCTAAACCATCGAGTATCTGGAAGGAAAAATGGCTTTTACATCCCCTGGCAACGATGAGGAGTTCTTGTCTATCTTCCTGCAATGTCCAGTCAGGCAGAGCTGTTTTCCTTCTATTGGTTCTCAACAAACAGCAAAAACAGTTGTGTGGTTTGAATGGCAAAGCCACTAGGATCTCCCCCACAACACTTAGGGAAAGGAGACCTCGCCCCAAGTGAGGGGGAGAAGAGGTACCTATAGGCACCAGCTCCTCCTGAGGCTCAGTTAGGCTTGGCGCCCTCTGGGGCTGAGGTAGTTAGTAGCACTGACAGTTCCCAGTTTGGCAGAGGGTGTCTGGGAAGGGAGGAGGGGAAGGCACCCTTAAGAGCTAACTGAGGCCCCTCCTCACTACCAGTCTGCCAGGCCTGAAGGGAACTCTGGTGCCATCTCTGCAGTGGGGACAGGGGAGGAGAACAGTCCCACAAGGAGCCTGAATACTCCCTCCTTCCCCAAAGTGCAACAGGGAGCCAGTGGACACCTTTTCCCACTCCCTAGCCCTTGGCTAGCACCACTCCCAAATCCCTCAGGAGCTTAAGAGGAGTGGGCCCTTGTCTTTAGTTTCCACTGTCTCCAGGCCCCTCCCCCTTACAGACAGGCCTAGGAGATACACAAAGATGGCCGGCCACTGCTAATGTCTCAGAAACAGCCTCTCAGCCTCTGTCTGTCTTTGGCACAAAGGAAAACGGACACTCAGAACCAACTAGAGCATCCTGCTTCAGTGTCCTCTGGGTTTTTACATGGGGTCTCTTCGGCCAACAGTGAGGCATGAGCTTTCCCCAAGACTGGAGAGTTTAGGGAGAATTAATGAAAAACAGAAAGGACCAGAAAAGAGTCAAAGACCACACAACTTCCCTATCCTCAGCTATGGTTCTCTCCTGCCTAGACCCCCTCAACAAATGAGTCCACAACTGGAATTGCAAAAGGCACCCAGACCCCAAAGGGTGTTAAAGCCCCCGTAGCGTGAGTGGCAAGCGCAGGGTTAAAGTAGGTCAGTGGATCAAACCATTTGGCTTTTTATGTGTTTCAAATGACTGGAAAAAAATAGATCCTAAAGAGATGGTCCTTCCATAAAAATACACGTGTAGCACACACACATACACCTCTCTATATACATACACCTTAGGGCATGGAAGCATTTTTTTTAAAGTTGCTTTTCTCAATACCATCCAAATCTCCCAAGTGCTTTTTGTAGTAGTTTCTATCTTACCTAGGATGAGGGAAAAGAGGTGACAGGCAGGGTAAGGAGCAGCCCTAAGAACTGGGCTTCAGGTCACAGAACAAGCCAAGACAGGCCAGGCTCTTCCTTCCTGCTGACCTCTGACCCCTGATCACTATTCTTTTTAGTAAGCCAACTTTCACAATCTTCCTGCTGGGCAAGTTCACCCACAAGTGGAACCTTGCCTGATCCATGTAAGTTTTTAGGTCCCTTGCCACACTTCCTGATCTCTTCTGGGAACTCAATCAGCCAAAGGACTCGGGCTTAAGGTGTGAAGGGAGCAGGCCCCCAAGGAATGCAACACTCCAACAACTTCATTTCAGGTACTGTGGGATCCCCCCTCCCCCCATGATCACTTGAACCAGGTATCAAAGCATGCTTGCTGCAAGAAATCCACTTTAAATCACTAAATGGCCGATGTCTGAACATTGCCAGCTTTGTTTGGGGACAAAGCATGTAGAGCCAGATGGGAAGTCGGGAGACCCTTTTTGTGTCTGGGACAGGCCTGTTACCATCCCTAAAGACTTTCTTGCTTCTCTCTTTGGATTAGATGGTCTGGAGGCTATGAGGGGCTGTCACAGGGGCCATGTTCAGATCACACCAAAGCAAGACCCTGTCCCCAATCATGTTCACCATTTCCCCTTCCCTCTTGGCTACCTCACCACCCTAAATCACCAATTTCCTACCTAACAAGTCCACTTTTGGTATCAACCAAATCAACCTAAGAAGACAGGGAGATGGGGAGGGCAGTCACTGACCACCTGCTTGCCCTGCGGTCTATGAACGATACAGACTAAGAATAGCAAGGGGGATGGAAATGAAACAACAACCAGGGGGCCTCGCAAAGGGCGAGAGGGCAGCCCTGTTTTTTTCTCCCATTAACGGAATCTTGGCTCCCATATGTTTTTTAAAGAAATACAGGTTTTCTTAAAAGGTTCTATTTTTTTAGTTATTATTTCTCTCCTCGATAAAACAGAGGCAATTATCTTAAACAACAGCACCACTGGTGGGAAACTCCAGCTAAGGCACG